GGCGGCACGGTGGCCCCTGAGAGGGAGGCCAGCGGCCTGGTCGGAACGCCAACGCGGCCGCCAGGCTCCAAGCGACGCGGGCCCTCCTCGCCGCGCTCCGCGAGCATCCCGCAGCACTCGCCAGCGGCCGCAAAACCCTCCCCGTGGGCGTGGGCGCTGCCTCTTCCGATCGGCAGCCCTTGCCCCTCGCGCAAGCGCCGGGCGGGCTCGCTCGAGGAGCGGGCACCCCGGGGAGGCTCGCCAGACCGCGCTCCGCGCGGCGACGGGGCATCCGCACAGGCGGGAGCAGACCCCCCCCGGCTCGAGGGCCGGCCCGCAGGCGGGCCACCCGGGCAGCGCGCCGAGCGCCCCGCGGGGGGCCCTCCCGACGCGGGCGCCGAGCAGCCCCGCGCGTGCGAGGACGGCGGCGGCGCGACCGCGGCGGGCCAGCCCAGCCAGCCGCCCAGCGGTGCTCGGGCGGGGTAGGACGAGGATAATCCGTTTCACAGCGTTCCGGAACACTCTGAGGAGGCCGCGGCGCCCGAGACGTCCTCCAGAGCCGCCAGGTCTCAGCGATTCCGATCTATCCTCGCCCAGACTGATCATCGTCCTGGCTTCGTCTTAGGTGCCCCGCCGGGGGCCGGTTCAGGTTCTGGCGACTCCACTGCGGCATGCGCGTCGGGCAGCCCAGAGGCGACCGCAGAACACGGCGGCGGAGATGCAGCGGCCCTGGACTGCGCGGAGTTGGAGTCCCCACGGGCGGCGCTGGAGAATTTCGACATCAGCTTCCAGGGGCTTCCGCCGCTGCTGCCAGCCGGAATTGCTTTCCCGCGCGCGTGGACCCGCCCCACGGTGGCGTGTGCCAGTGGAAGTCCAGGCGCTACGGAAGCTTTGGCTGGTTGTGCGCTGCCGGACTCGGAAGCCCGATTGGGACTGCCTCCAGCGGCCACCGAGCAGGCCAGCCAGCCGATGCCACCGCAGTGCGCTGCGGAGGGCGACCGCTCGGAGGGCACCACCGCCGCCGCCGCTGGCGACGGCCGCTCGCGCTCCCCCGCGAGGCCCGCGGACGGAAGCAGGCTGCAGCGGATGTCCTGCAGCCTCCCGCCGCACGGCTCGGGGCGGGCGCGGGGCTCCCCCCCCCGCGCCCCGCCGGCGCGCAGCTCGCTGCCGGCCCCGCGGCAGTGCCCGCGGGCCCCGGGGGCCCCGCCGCCCCAGAAGAGCGCGTCCGCGCCGCCCGCGCCGCTCTTCGCCGCCGCCGGCCTGGGGGCGCCGCCGTGGTCGCTGCTGCCGACGCCGGCCCGGGCGGCAGGCGGCCCCGCCGTCCCAGGTGCCAGGCCTCGCACAGATGGGGTCCGATCAGATTCGGGGAAGCGTGAGGCTCGAGTATCAGCCAGAACTCAGCCACGCGCAGAGGGGGGTGGGGGGAGGGGGGAGGGCTGCTCAGAAGCACCCCTGCTTCTTAGAAGGCGCGGGCCATATCTACAGGTGTGAGGCCGGCGCCTTCTAAGAAGCAGCCTCCTTCTAAGAAGCCCTCCCCCCTTCCTCCACCCCCTTGTGCGCACCGCTAAAGAACTCGAGTTTGCCGACGCTTGTGGACGAACGCGTCCTGGATTTTGAGGGTGCAGCGTTCGTTGGGTGCTTGCAGCGGTAGCTCTCGCCAGACTCCAGATGGGGTCGCGCCATTTTTTCATGATGGGCTGGTCAGGCCAACCCGAGTCCCCCGAACCCGAGTTCTACGTCTCCCCGATGGGGGTCGAAAGATCGCGCCGCATAGGTTATGCATCGGCCATGCGACCCGATGCCCGACCGATGCCCGACGTCGCCGATCCATCGCTCACGTCGCCGGTGCACCGCCGATGCGTCAGCGATGCATCGCCGATGCGTTGGCGGTGCGGCGCGATCCTCCGACGCATCTCATTGCTCGGACCTCATTCGCGAGGCCTGTGCAGGTGCGGCCCCGTCGGCCGAGGGGGCGTTGGGCCGTCGTGGGGGCCGCTCACGCTCGCGGTCGCGCGCCCGGAGCCAGGTGCGCGGGGGCACGCTCTACATCCTTGACGGCCTCAACATCCTCAGGCACCGCAACAGCTGTGCCTCGGACGCGGCCGAGATGGCCCTGGAGTGGGACCAGCTCGAGAGCGCCTGCAGGTACTACACGTCCAGGGGCTGCCAGATCTCCATCTACTTGCCTCCGCTTCGGGACGGGTGCGAGGACTTCCGCATCGAGCGCTGCCGCCGGGAGTTCGGAGACGTCTTCGTCGTGTGCAAGGGCGTCGCCGGCATGGACGACAAGTTCATGATCAATACGGCGAAGTGCATGGACGATGAGGTGCGCGCTGAGGGTGCCGAGGGAGATCCAGCGGGGCCGCAGCGGTCACCGCCGCCGCCGTGCTGCATCGTCACGAACGACCGCTTCGAAGACTGGCGGCAGGCTGGACACGTGGACGCCGCTTGGGTGGAGCGCCACTGCGTTCGCTTTGCCTTCGGGCCAGGCGGTCGCTTCGTACCGAGTGAGCTCGTGTGATAATTCGCCCGATTTGGGCCCTGCGCCGAGCCCCCCCCCCGTCGCGGGGGCGAGTGAAGACCCCTACGTCGGGCGCCGCCTGGTATGATAGGTGGGCGGCCCTCCTGATTGCGAAGGCAGCAACAAGGCACCGCACACACTGCAACTTCGGAGGCCCGCGCGGGTTCCTCGGTTCGGGGTTGGACCCCTCTTCTCGAACCCCTGGCGGCGCCTCTACCGGCGACCCAAGAAATCCGTGTCGAGCTCCGAAATCTGAGACGAACGCAGTGTTGTTTGTCTTCTTGGCACCTGGCCTCGCAGCGCAGCAGTAGGGGCGGTGCACACGGCGCAGCGGCTGCATGTCCTGCATGTCTAGTGAATGCCCAATGGGTTGGCTGAGACGGCTCCGCGGGGTATGCCTTCAGCACCTGCTGTGCGCGTGGCGTGGCCAGCACGGCAGCATTCCTCACAAAGATCGCCCCTTCTCTCCGCAGCAGTCGTCTGCACGCAACCACCGAGCCTGGCTGGGCCCGTCCTGAGCCCTCGGGTCGGATGGTGCGTAGGCCGCCCTGGGCCGCGGCCAGGAGGGTATGCGGCACATACAATGCCAGGGCGAGTGTGGTGGCCCTGCCAAGCACGGTGGTCGGGCATGAAGGTGTTGTGTGTGTGCGTGTGTGTGTGCGTGTGTGTGTGTGATCTCTATATATATATATATACAAGACCGCATTGGCGCTTCGCGCCATGCACCTTGGCCCATAAAGTTCGGCATGCAGGCGAGATGGCAGGAAGGTCAAGCCGGCAATTTAGCGATAGCTCCTTGTTGCCTTTTCCGGCATTGTCGTTATCATAATGTTTTTCGCTATCCTTCCTTAATGCTTCTGTTTCTTCACTCTCGCCATACCCTGCACATTCTCCCCATCCTCCTCAGTTCTTTTTTGCGGAGGCTCCTCCTTGGAGAGCCTCTGGGGGCCTCACAAAATTTGTCATGTTTTCTCAAGGCCTTTTGGAGGCCTCCTGGGCGTGTTCTGGGGTCCTCTGGGGGCTTCCTCGGGCCACCCTGCCTCCAACCGCGGTCTCCCTGAATGACTGGGTCACGATATGGAATGCTTCAGAGAGTGTCTTCGGGCCATCTTGGGCCGCCATGGGGCACTCTTAGGGCCATCTTGGACCCCTGTTGTGCCGTCTTGGGGCTGTCTTGGACTGCCTGGAAGCCCTTTCGGATAGTTGTGGGGCGATTTTGTAGTCTCTCAGGCGGCTTCGGACGCCAAGAAAACCGCCGTCTTGGAGCGTCGGGAAGCCGAAAAGAGGATAACCCCAAAAGTCACCAAAAACCAATGGAAAATCACAGATGTGTGCCTCTTCGGTCCTTCCTGGGAGTGCTCTTGGAGGCCTCTAGGGACGTTTCGGAGCGATCTTTGGGGGTATGACGGCTTCGTGGGCGTCGTCGTGGACCGTATTGGGGCTCTCTGGGGTCGTTTCGGGAGCGCGCCAGATAGCCTGGAACCCGTCTGGGGCCGTCTTCGGGTGCTGGGAAGGCTTGGCGAAACGCCCTGCGAGGCCCGGGGGGCCGCTCCGAGGCCCGTCCGGAGGGCCCCGGAGCCCCAGATCCCGGGAGTCCGGTTTTTGGGGGGGGGGATGGGTTTTCCCCCCGCCCGGGCTTATAAAAATATAGGAAGAGGAATATATATATATATATATATATTATATATATATATATATATACATCATATATATATATATATATATGTATGTGTGTGTGTCGTCATCTGCGTGTTCTTTCCCCACGGCCTTCCCACGCGGTCTCGCCCCCCCCAAAAAAAGCCCGGTTTCCCCCCTCGCCTTGCCGTCACCACCCCCCCGCACCCCCCCTCCCTCTCGCTCCCCCGCCGCCCTGCCTTGACCATCGCCCGAGCCCCCCCCCGCCTCTCGCCGCCCCCCTCCCTCCAGCGCCCCGCCCTCCCGTTTCAGAGGAGGTGTGTATTGCCAGCTGGACGACCTTCACCACCCACCAAACCACCCCAACCCAACCCGAAGCCCTCAATTTGCCTTCCATTTCCAGTGGGGGGGGGTTCCGGGAACGTTGACAAAAACACATGGTATCCGTACCCCCCCCAACCCGAAATTCGGGTCAAATTCGGGTCTTCGGGTTGGGTTGGGGTGGTCTGGTAGGTAGTCAGACCTCCCCAGAATTCTGCACCTGGCGTGCGGGTTTGGGCCCCCGGGAAAGCAAGCATGGATCCGGGGCGAAAGAGTTGGCTCTGGGGACGGGGTCGGCATCTCTGGGGCCGCGCGCGGGCACGGTCACATCATATGTCGGGCGTCTGGGCCCCGCCCCATTCCCACAAGGAGGAACAGCCGTGCAAGAGGAGGAGGAGGAGGAGGAGGAGGAGGAGGAGGAGGAGGAGGAGGAGGAGGAGGGGGAGGAGGAGGAGAGGAGGAGCAGGAGGAGGAGGAGGAGGAGGAGGACAAGCCGTGTAAAAAGGAGGAGGAGGAGGAGGAGGAGGAGGAGGAGGAGGAGGAGGAGGAGGAGGAGAGGTAGTAAGTAGCCCCCCCTTTTGGTTGTGATGCTGGCCGCTTTTATGGCGCCCGCCCCCCGCCATCTATGCTTTGCAGCTGGGACGCGGAGGGGCGGGGCGACAGCAGCTCCTGACAAGGATCACATGTCCGTGGTCCCAGTCCCCAGGAGGAGATCGAGGAGGGAATCAGGATTAGAGCCGGCATGGGGGTCTCAGGTGGCTCGGCACTGGTTCCGGAGAGCAGGACATGGGGGTGGCAGGGTTCGGGGCGCTGGGTTTGGGAGGGTTCCTTTGCCAGTTTCGGCCTCCTGAGGCCGTTTCGGGGCGTGGGACCGGGGTGGCAGGGTTCGAGGCGCTGGGTTCGGGAGGATTTCTTTGCCAGTTTCGGCCTCAGTTTCGAGCCGTGGGACCGTCAGCATTGGATCTGGGGAAAGGATCCACAGCAGATGGGGCCAGGGAAGAGATCCGGGGGCTGGTGTTGAGCAGATGTGGCTTCAACCCCCACCTGATCGATGCTCTGGTGCCCCAAGCAGTGCAGAACACCCGGCCGCCTGCAAGATCAGGGGATGTGAAATACGAGGAGGATCAGGAGGGGAAAAAACACGCTAACACAATGAATCTTCGACCCCCACGAAAGTATCGGGAACTGTGGGTAGTGGGGCTGAAGACGAACACCCAGAAAATATAAGAAGATGAAAATACGGGGAACCCTGGGATTTGTGCTTGTTTACCTGTGTGTCCCTGGGCCCCCTTTAGAGGCCCAGAAAATAGCCAAGGTGCGTCAGCGAAGCTGGTCTACAGTCGCCTCCTCATGACTGAGCCTCCTCCAACGGAGTTTTTCCTCCTGAGGCGCCCCTCTCGCTGCCGGCTGGAAGTGCCCCCCCCCTCGCGTGTAGTCCTGCAGGTCCGGCGAAAGCCCCGTCTTGAAGCTGAGCTGCCGTGTCCCTCCTCCTCCTCCGCCTCCTCCTCCTCGTCCTCGTCCTCTTCCTCCTCCTCCTCCTCCTCCTCCTCCGCCTCCTCATCCCCACCTCCCCCTCCTTCCCCTCCTCTTCCGCCTCCTCCTCTTCCGCCTCCTCCTCCTCCTCCTCCTCCTCCTCCTCCTCTCCTCCTCCTCCTCCTTCCTCCCTCCTCCTCTCTCCTCCTCCTCCTCCTCCCCTCTTCCTCCTCCTCCTCCTTCCTCCTCTCTCCTCCTCCCCCTCCCCCTCCTCCTCCTCCTCCTCTTCCGCTTCCTCCTCCTCCTCCTTCTCTTCCCTCTCCGCCTCCTCCTCTTCCGCCTCCTCCTCCTCCTCCTCCTCCTCCTCCTCGTGCGTCTGGTTTGTATGAAGCCCGCGAGGAGGTAAGAGAGCATCAAGTCCCGGGCAGTGTCCAGCGAGCGCCCCGCTCTGCCAAAGAGCAGCCCTCGATCCGTTCAGTGGTTCTCCAAGCTTGAATTTCTAGCATCAAGTCTTCTGACGTTCCAGCCTATCCTTAGCTTGGATCGGGGGTGGACAGAACCCCCAACAGTGACACGTCGATTAGTGAATTGTCCGTTTTCGGTTCTCGAGAGGGCGCCGTGGCCGTTATTTTCCAGGCTTGCGCCCGCCAGGTTTTGGCCTCAGGTCGTTTTCACTAAACCACGTTTTACTAAAGGGGGGTCTGTCCATCCCCGAGCTTGGATCACCAGAAATAATCCCGAGCACCAAAATATAGCACCGAAACTCGAGGGTTTTCATTTGTCGGGCCCTGGGAGTCTCGTCCGACACTCGTTCGATATTCTTTCGACACCTGTCCGGGTGCTCGACACTATTTCTGGGATGTGGTCATTAAGTACGACGGGAACAACATATTTCTAGTCCCAAACTTAAGAAGTAAATTGCAGCGAGGGTCCGACTAGAAATGAGCCCCCATCTGACCACGCGTTTATTGCCCGCATCCCGATATGCGGACATTAGAGTGATGATGATTGAACGAAGTTGCCCTGTTGAAAGTGATGCGTGCCACATCCGCGCAATTGCTCAGAACTTGTGAGCCGAATAAGTTGGGCTTTGCGGTTAGAAGCACGTTATGATCGCGATCTGATTCCATCCGCGTCTGATAAGACGTGTGGGTGCGGCGCTAATGCGACAGCCACGTGTTGACAGTGACTTGTACACAATCCGCGAAATTCGGTGTTGGAAGCGTTAGAGGCGAATGCGCCCGGCGCTAAGGCGTGAGTTAAAAAACAAGTATGTTCAGTCCGTGCATCTAGTGACTAGCGGAGACTGTTAAGACGACTGTGTGCGGCGCTAAGGCGACAGCAAGAAGACTTCCCCCCTCCTCCTACCTCCTTGTGCGCGCCGCCAAGTGCCACGCAAGTGAACTTGCCAGAATCTGGAGAGACGCGCTGTGGGACCTCCCCAGAGGGACCCCATGGGCCCCCCCCCCTCCGGACCCCCCGGGACTAGGGCCAGGGCCGAGACGTCGCAAGGCCGGGACCTCTGAGCTGGAGCCAGGGCCCCAGGGCCGGGGCCACGGCCACGGCCGGGT